AAGCCTACCACCACCACCCCCCACCCCCGCCCCCGCCCCCGCCACCACTGACCTGACCCCTCTGCTCAAGACCCTTCCCATACCTCCTTGCTGGGCCCGGGAAGGCTACAGCAGGAAAAGCCAGGAGCTCTCAGGACCTAGGGCTCTCTCTCCTGGTGGCAAACCCAGCCATTCCGAGGGGTGTGGTCCAGGGAAGGTCCCTCAGTGGCTGGTTTCACAAGCAGGATTTCGGGGGAAAAACAGCACTCAAAGACAAGAGCCCTTCCGCTTGTTGATGAGAGGGGTCAGGGAACGCACAGTCCCAGCGAAGGGCCTGCACTTGGGTGACTTGTCAGAGTTGGGAACTACTGCCTCTCCAAAGGGACAGGTGATGGGGGGGGCAGGGGGAGAGCACCTGAGAAATGTCCCCTGTGCTGGCCCCACAGGTGGCTGAGAGACGTCAGAGCCAGCGGGTGGGAGGGGTGAAGAGAGGGAAACTCAGGACAGATTGGAGGCCAACCCAGAGAGTCACCTTGGTTTGTCAAAAGGGCAGCGGCAGGAAGGGAAGGTGCCACAAGAAAGCACCCTGAGAAATGTCCAAACGGGAGAGCCCTTGGCCAGAAAGCTGGGCCTCTCCTTCTGAGAAGCCAAGCCTGCCTGTCTCATGAAGGTCACTTGCCATCTTTCACTCCCCAGCCCCCCACTCCCGACATCCACATTACCACATTCCCTGCACAGCAGGAGACACTAGGCAGGGAAGGGGTCCTGAGTCCAGTGCCCTGGGTGGGAGGGGAGGGGCATCCACCAGGGGAGGACCACTGTTCTCACCTCCGGGTGCAGGAGGCAAGGTCTGAAGCCGTCTTCAACTTCCCCTGCAGTGACCGAGTCTGGAGGGAGGGCAACGTGGGCTCTCGCTTCAGGGCCAGAGGGAACCGGCAGCCATGGCCGCTGGCGGCTCCAGTCCAGGAAGGCCCCTGCGTCTGTGACCCCCTCAGGTCTGGGTTGTGCCTTCCCTGCACACCTCCCAGGCCCAGTAAGTGCTCTTCTCAGCTCTTCGCTCATCTGCCAACTCAGATCACCCTCAGCGAGGCGAAAGCCTCAGCCTAAATTCTGGCAGCTTTCGAAGGGCAGAGCTGGGATTCAAACCGAGCAAGTCTGGTTCCAGAGTTCCAGAGCCTTCACTCCCAACCAGCACCCCACCCAGCCTGGCTGCAGGCTCCTCAGAAGGCACCACTGATTCCCGAGTTTGGGCTTCTGGAAGGCCAGGCAGTGGGTGGAGAGGAGAGGCGGCATGGAAAAGAACGCATCGCCAGGTGGATTGCCAGTGAAGCTCGGAACTGGGTGACGGAGCCACGAAGGCACCGAGCCAAGTTGAGGCGGAATCCACATGAAAGTCCTCCAAGGTCAAAGCTGACCCTTCCAGGAGCAGGGAAGCAGCCACCAGCTGGTGGCTCAAGGCCTATGTCATTCAATGACCCCTCAGCACAAAACCCCAGAGCCTGATGGCCAGCCTGCTTCCAGTGACGCTGGGACTCTCAGATGGCCCCGTCCACGCACAGAAACGCCAGCCAAGAGCATTGGCCAGTGTGCAGGCTGCCCAGAGGAGCCATCTGCTTGGCAGCAGCAGCCTGAATGTCAGAATGTTCCCCACACAGTGGCAGGTGGAGAGGCAGATCATAGGGGCCTTGGATACTTAGCAAAGCCCAGTGTCTGACTTGGGGAAGAGAGTCAGCACTGGGTCTACCAGGGTCCAAGAAGCAAAGGGCACCTTGGAGGTGGGGCCCACAGCTTAGGCAGCCTGTCTCGCCATGAAAGGTCTCCCTAGACCTGCTGGTGGCTGCCTCCCCGAGGACTTCTCTGATCCAACAGAGCCTCCCGTCACACACATGTCTTTATCACTTTTATTGTCACACACACTTTTATTGTCTTTATCACTATCTGAGATCTCAGGACTTACTTACTCCCTGTCCCCCACGCCCATTAGAATAAAAGGTCCATGAGGACAGGGACTTTGTACTGTTGCCTATTGGATCACCTGTGCCTAGAACGGTGCCTGATAATAATACCTAAGCTCTGTGGAATACATGAAGAAATACACGAATGGCCCAGAGAAGCCAAGACCTTGAACGTGGCTCAGGGCAGACGTAACAGCTAGGCAGCTCAGGCTTTTCCCTCTCCTCTTTCCTAGGAAGTACGGCTTTTTATAGTTTTTAATTGTAGCATTGAAAAAGTTCTTTAACTTTTTTTTAAATTACAAAAGTAGCACGTACTGCAGCATCTAAGCGAGGAGTCCACTCAGTCCACATGGAAGAACCACACCGGCTTGTGTGATCCAAAGACAATAATAACAAAATTCAAACATGACAAAGAGAAAAACATCAGAGCCTGAAATGAGAACACCCCATTTTCAGAAGACTAGGGAGCACAGCGGGAGCCCCAACCCATCTGCAGGGAGCCTAGCCTGATGAAGCCGCTGGCAGATCCCACGAGATTCTTCTAGATGCGGTATCTCTTGCTTGTTCCTTGACAAACATTTCTTTCCTGGCCTCTTAAGTCTTCATGGTAGTCTTTTGTTTCCTACCCACTATTTGTATTTTTATCTCTGTATTATTACTATTTTATCCTTACCACTTTATTTTTTCTGCTTTTTACTGTAACTGAGGCAAGGGTTTATAGTGGAGGAAGGGGTGGGGGGTGAGAGATATGGAGCGTGAGGGGGTGGGGAACAAGCAGTATATGTGGGAGAGGGGAGGGAACCCTCTTTAGAATTGCTGGTGATTACACAACTCAGTTTAAAAGTGACTGAACCATGGGGTTGGGGAGAAGATGTTCTAAAACTGATTGTGGTCATGATTGTACAACTCTTCTTATTGTGACTGGACTATTGAATGGTGTGATTTGTGGGTTAAGTGCCAATAAAACTGTTTAAAAAGTAACCTGATTTTTCCCATGCGTCTATGGTTAAGTGAGGAGAAGCCGAGTGAAAGGCAAGGAGGCCTGGTGATGCCGCAAAAGCCTGGTGTTCAAACCCACCAGCCGCTCAGTGGGGACACGGTGTGGCTGTCTGCTTCCTTATTTAGAGCTTTGCAAACTCCACAGGCTGTTCTACTCTGTCTTATAGGGAGAAGGGAAGGGGTCGATGATAACTTTCTGTGATATGTTTGCAACTTTCTTTAAGTTTTGAATTATTCCAAAACAAAAAATTGTTTTTCTAAAAAAAAAAAAAAAGTAGCATGTTCTCATGGCTGAAATTTAAACATACAGAAATCAACCCCGCCCCCCCCAAAAAGAAAACCCCTTCTCATTTTATACGTGTGTTATGTTACTGTCCAAATTAAATTTCATTCAAAAGAAGTTAACCAATGCATCTTAGAAAGAAATCCACTTCTAACTCCCCCAGGCTGGTACCATCCCTTCCTCACACTCATAGTCTTGGGTCATAATCTTGTGTCAAGCTGTCATCAGTGTCCTTGCTGCGTGCTGCCTGGCTCACAGTCACTCCTCAAACCATGAGCTCACTGTTGTAAGGGTTGTGTAACAGTCCACCAGTCCGTGGGGGAAGGGCCCCCCCCCACCCCCCGGGACTGTCTCTGACTTCACCTCCGTGTCCAACAAAGCAAGAAGGACCGCCTTCCCATTTCCACTACCACAGGAGACCACTTTGACACCCGTGATGGAAGAGTTATTTCTTTGTTGGGACGACTTCAGAGTGAAAGAGAACTTAATGGGTTAACAATCACAAAAGTGGATGGAAGAGCAGGGCGGTGTTCAGGGGGGGATGCAAACAGCTCTGGGAAGCTGGGCGTTTGGTGGAGAGCGGTCTCCACCTCCTCAGTCCCTCGGCAGCCTGGATCCACCACCTTCTCTCTACATCTCTCCTCATCCCTCCTCCAGGGTTCCGGCTGCGAATCAACTCCAGAACACACTTCAGAAAGGCGCTCCCTGAACAAAGTGATTTTGCCAGCCTGGGCTGCGTGGGAAACGGATTCTGGTCCTTAGTTTGACACGCCAGACTGGGAGTCGAAGCCTAATCTCCCTAAAACCGAGAAATCACTGCTTATCATTGCCCGCCCCGACCCCAGAAAACTCCCTTTAGGAGTTTGAAGGCCTGGGCTCTCGTGGACCAGTCCACAACTCCTAATCGTGCAGCCAGTCAGGATGACACACACTAGGCCCGTCCCATCCTGACCCCTAGAGAACCCTGTTCCTTCCTGCCGTCCCCAGCCGCACCCTGGACTGTCTGGCCCTGTGCAGGCAGACATGACTGCCCTTGGCCCAGATGGGCTTCAAGGGCTTGGGAAAGCTGCTGGCTGCCAGCGTTGGAAGCATCATCGAGGACAAACCGGAGACCCCAGCTGGAAAGAAAGGCCACGTGAGGACAGGAGAGGAGGAGACGCAAGAGGAGCTGTTCTCACCCCCTGGGGGTCACACAAGTGCAGCTGGTGGCGTCCCCACGCGTCTTGGGAGACAGCTGCCCCCTCCACGGAGCTTCCATAGCTGGAACCTTTCAGAGGCTGATCACCAGGCGTTTCTTTCACGGCTCCCCTTGGGTGTTTGAGCCATAGCCCTTGGGTGAGCAGCCACGCGCTTAACCATTTGCTTCATCCGGGTAAGACTCCACAACTCTCCCTCACTTCCCAGGGCCCGGGAGGGTCTGCACAGGTCTCCGAGGCCTACGGCACATGTGGGCAGTCCGGCATCCAAAGGGAGGAAGAGTCCCACCGCACAGGGCGCGCTGGAGACCCAGAGCATCTGTGAGCCCCCCGAGGAGCACCGAGCGGGTTTGAAGAGCCGGCTCCCATGCCTCGGCCAGTCAGGGTCTGGCCTGCTTTTGGAGCCCTTGTCAGTTGTTTAAAAAATCTCAAGTGTGATGTGGTCTGAGACTGCCCCCTCCCGTCCCAGACCCACAGCCCATGCCAGGCCCTGTGGATGGGAAGCAGGCTAGGAACTGTGCTCTCTAAACTCAAACCCACGTTGGATGGGGCACCCACCATGGTGATCCCCTGGGTGGGGTCACATACTCACTGATCGCAGCCCTGAGTGCGCAGCGCAGAACAGACATCAGGATCACCATCCAGGAGTCTCCGGGCTTCACCTTTGGCCCAGTGTGAGACTGCAGCCCGGTGCCATCCTCAGCAGGGCGGCCACGCATCGGCCCCAGGACTCAGCGGACCCTTGGCTGGTGGGGGGGCGGCTGTCATGTGTCCCTGGGAACACAAGACGAGAGCGTCATCAGCCAGCTCCACCAGGCCAGCCCTGGAGACAAACACCACCAGAGCCCCCAGCTCCGGGCTCGGCACCCCACACACCTGTTCCCGTGAGCCTGCCACCTCCTCTCCTTGCTCAGGTTGGCTCTGGTCTGGTCTGGCCAGCCCGGCCAGGAAGCCCTGATAAGGTTCCTGGACATTTCATAAGCAGGATTAAGCCTGAGGGGTTCTTGCGCCACATGTATGATCTTGGAATCCAGCTCCATCCTCATTCCGTGTCAAATGACTCTCCCACCTTCACCCTGCAGCGGGGGCACCTGCTCTCAGGAGGACAGCTGACATCTCTCTTACCCCGTGGGGCTGACTCGGGCATGACCGCACACGGAGACACAGCCCACACAGCGAAAAGCCTCCATTCCTGATGCAAGAGGCCCCACCTCGGCTGCTTTTCGTTTATTATGATTATGACAACTGGGTTCTTGGGGAGCCCTGGGCTGTTGCCATCCATGTCAGCCAGCAGGCAGGCACACATCTTACTTTACAATGAACGCCCTTGGCCATGTACGTAATGGTCTTTTTCCACCCACCCCCCGCCCCCCTAAACCAAGGTCAAAGATCTGTGCAAATGTTTGCCACATCCTGCCTGGCCTGTCTTGTGGGAATCGGCCGTGGCCTTCTTTGGAATTGGATTCTTCTTGCCCTTGAGTGGCCGGAGGTCAGACGTGGTCCCCACACCATTTCCTTGGTGACCCTGCTGGCATCTGAAAGAAACACTGCCCACATCACCCCCAGCAGCACAACAACACGCAAGCCCCCGCAGGACAACAAACTGACCAGGTGGGTCCTTCTCCCAAGTATTCCTACATATCCTTGATGCGAACGTAACCTTTGCCCCAAATCCTTATCGCCAAGTAACTCCATCTGCCATTGCTTGATACTGTGACGTATTTGGCATGGAAATATGCCAAACTGTGCCCGGTCAACATCTGTCCCCTGGACAACTCGGTGACACGAACTGATAATCACCGGGTGGTCGGCTCCACCCCTAGGCTGCCATCAGATCACTTTCATAAGCTCCCCGAAACCACCGTTGGAAGGGGAGCCCGTTCTTCTGTAGTGTAACGTGCTGGTGCTGCCACTTCCTGGAAACATTGGAATGCAGCGCCGACCACGTGGGGCCAGGACACCCTGACCACCCTAACGCTGAGGACAGTCTGACCATTACACCCACACACCCGGACAGCTGGCCAGGGTGGACCTCTGAGGTGCCACCCCATGAGCCTGCCCTCCTTTCTCCCCCCACCAGGCAATCTGAGCAGGAGTGGCTTGTGAGGGGCTATGGAGAACGGATGGGGTGGAAACTCACCAGGCCCGTGGGCTGTGAGAGGCATGGCGGCCCAGGCCTTAATCGGGACATCTGCTCCGAAGCACTCCCAGCAGAGGGTAGGAAGGGACTGGAGAAGTCACCTGACCTGACCTGTCCGGCTTCCTCTCTCTGCACTCGGCCTACCCCTCAGGACCAGACAGCACCCCTGCCGTGGGCCCAGCCAGCCTAGTGACTGCCACAGTTCACAATGGCAAGTACCTAGCACCTTGAAGAAAGGACGGTTAACAGGCACCCTGTGCCTGGAGAATGAGGTCTGTCCCCCATGGCACTTCCCCTTCCCCGGGCCGGGCCGGCTGAGGCCAGCCACTACAGCACCAGGCATAACTAAACCAGAAACGGAATCCACAGACCACATCCTGCCTGCTCAGCAGCGGGGCCTGTCTCTGTTGCTGCAGTCAACGCTGGAAGCCGGCTGCTGGCGGGGCTGCCCCCTGGCCAGGAAGCTGTCGGAACAGGCTCCCTCCCGGGAACTGCCTGGTCTAAAGACTTCTTCCCAGGAGCCGGAAGAGACTAGACCAGGAGGATACAGCCTGTCGGGAGTTTGACCCCACCACAGCCCCCTCTCACCTCTGCCCCAGCCTCTTCAGACACACCCTAGCTCCCAGGTGCAGGTCCAGGCTACAAGGAACAGGAGGTTTGCCTGAAACCAGACCTGCATTTTGAGGGTGTAAGAGTGTGGGGTAGGTGCCCTTGGGTGCATGGTTAAGCAATAGACTTGTAGGCAAAGGGTCAGGAAACAGACCCTGGGCGGCATGCATGCTCTGAATGGAGGAAAGCCTAGGGATCCCATGGTTCTGCAGAGTCGGCGTGGGGCCACAGCGCACAGCCACCTGAGCAGGAACATGCACAGGGTCCTCGGAACAACTCAAACACGGAAGTGTGGGGAGACTCTCTCACATCTCAGGATGCTCCTGGGGGTTTAGGGAGTCGGGGCAGGCAGGAGCTGCTACCCCATTCAGGCTCCAGACCCTCAGAGATTCCTCCTGGGGCTCCGGCTGCCCCTCATTGTGTTGCATCAAAACCTCATTTTTTAAAAATACTTTTATTGGGGGCTCTTACATCTTACATAGCAATCCATACACTCTTCCAATGTGTCAAGCACATTTGCACCTATGCCGCCATCATCATTTTCAAAGAATTCTCTTCCCCCTTGAGCCCCTGATATCTGCTCCCCATTGAAACCTCATTCTGAAGTCATGCACGCCCGTGTTGTCCATTCACGGTCATCTCCTTAGTCCATTACTTAAGCCAGTTACTTTGTAAACATAGCCCCTTCTGTCCGGTCAGGGGGCCCTCCATGTGGCCAGGATGCTTCCGAGGGCTTGAAGGAGCTGAGACCACCACCCATTTCAGGTTTGGTCCTCTCTCCTTCCCCTGTCACCCACCCACTCCCACTCCTCCTTCTAAACCAGTGGTTCTCAACCTTCCTAATGCCACAATCCTCTAATACAGTCCTTCATGTTGTCTTGACCCCCAACCATAAAATTATTTTCATTGCTACTTCATAACTGTAATTTTGCTACTGTTATGAATTAGGTGACCCCTGTGAAAGGGTCGTTTGACCCCCAAAGGGGTCGAGACCCACAGGTTGAGAGCCACTGTTCTAGACCCTCATGCCTTTCTCCTTGGTGATACCTCCCCACAGCCTCCCAGTGAGTCCGTCATGGATAGCCCCATCAATGGTGGCACGGCTGCTAAGCACCTGGCTGTGCTGGAAGGTTAGCAGTTCACAGCTACCCAACAGCTCTGGCAGTTGGTTCCCATACCGATCACACCCTAGAAAACAGCACCAAACACCAACGCTCCCACAAGACTATGCGCCTCCTTCAACTGCAACACGCTGCCCATCTCAAAAACGACTCCCTGTAGGTCTGTGGCTCCCACACCATGAATTCCTTGAGGCTGTGGAATTTCTGTTGGACGGATGGAAGAAATAACAAGGGGAAGGGTCCAGTGACATTCCTGGGTGACTGAGTGACCCAGTGTTGCTAGCCAAAACTAGGCATGGCTGGCGTGCCTTCGCTGATGTTTAGAACACCATCATGGCAGGGCTCTCTCCACAAAGCATCGTCAATGCTGGTCTACAAGGGCTCGGGCTGCCTCTGCTGGTGAGGAGACTGCTCTGGCTACTCTTCCCACCACCAAGTGCCATCACCGGGACAGAGAGGAGGAGGGGGGTGGGGTGGGATGGCTTGGGGCAGGCAATACAATGGACATGCCCTCTACTCACACAAGAGCAACCGGGTCAGCAACAGGGCATTGCACGTGTCCTGGAAAGGTGTACACACTCCTCCACGGGCAAGGGGCTGAGCCTGGCCAGAGACTAGTAAGCAGCGATTGTGTTCTTTGTACAGTGTGCCTGCATTTTGGAACGGCACACCCCGTTTTCATGCACACGGGATTTGTTTCCCAAAGGGGTTTAGCCGGGTGCTGCTGACCGGAAAGTCCCTCTGCACCCCTCGCTCTATGTCCCCTCTACTTATTTAGGGGAAGCTGGACTTGCAAGGCGGAGTCTCTGCTTCTCAGACAGAAATCTGAAAACCCCATCTTCTCCCCGCATCTTCATGGCTCCGGAACCTCAGACCGGACCCCTCCCATTCTTCCCAGTGGTTGCCGTGGCATCATGGCTTCCTCGGATCCCACAGGAGAAGACGCTGGCCCAGACCCAAGCCATCTTCTTGGTCCCGCAGTGGAGTCCATTGTGGCAGCTGTTGTCACTCCGTCACATTAAGGGTGGCCCTCTCCTTCACCGTCTCCCTTAACCTTCCCCTCGCCGCAAAGCCCACAGAGTAAAGAGAAGAGGCCTCCGAAACCCGGCAGGGACCCTTCTCCTACGCGGTCAGAATCCTCCTGTTCCTCCCACAGGGCCCACACCAACTGCCTTTCCTTAGCCTTTATGGGGAGATCAGCCCTGAGGTACGAGCGCATCTGCCACGTCCCGCTCAAGGAGCAGCTCCCGTTCAGCGCTCATGCAATTGGCCTTCCAAATCCAGCCCCCCTGCCCCTGCCCCCCCACCCTCCACCCCCCCCCAGCGAGAAGGCTGCCTGGTCAGCTCTCCCCAGGAAGCAAGGCAGCCTCTGGGGGCCGGCCGGGATCAGGGAAGCTCGGGAGAGAGGAGAGCCTTGTGTCCGGCCCACTTACTCGGCCCTGCCACTTCATTCCGTGTCCAGCTCGCTCCAGACTTGAATGCAGATTGCACTGACTGGAGAACAGCCGGCCCCCTTCCTGCTGCCTCCCCAGGAGGGACCTCACCGCCCCCCCACCTTCTTCTCTGTGCCCCCTCCCTATCTAGCCCGCTGCTCTACCTTACATGCCCCTGCCAATGTGCCCCTCTGAACAAACCCTGACTGCCCAGTCACCACACCTTGGAGGGCGGGTTCTACTGTCCTTCCTTCCCTGCCCACCCCCTGGCACTGGGGAGCCACTGCGGGCTGCCTGAGAGACCGGACAGCTGCTACCGGGCTCTCTAATTAGCTGCCTGGCTGCTGTCCCAGAGCGAGGCATGTGTTACTGTAAGGAGCTGCCTCCCCTCCCTTCGTCAAGAAGCCCCATGCAGAGCCCAGCGGGAGGAGGTAGTCAGGGCCCTAGAATCCTGACCACAGGAGGCCAGTGAAGCTCCACCTGTCAGCCCTACCCACCTGGTGACCGGGCATATGCCCTGCCACTCCTTGTCCCTGCCCATGCCCTTGGCATGTCCCACAGGATGCCACACCTCACCTTTCAGGAGCCACAGGGACATCGCCTCTTTGTGACCTCATTGGATCTTCCCGAGGACAAGCCTGAATGGCTCCGACCGTGTGACGCCAAGTGCCCTGACCTCCACGGCCTCCAGCCTGGCCCAACACCAGGGACACCTGGTCCAGGAAGGCCTGCAGTGGCTGGTTTGTTTGTGTGGGGGAAGGGGAGATTCTAGAAGTCGGGAGTGGTGCAAATGGTAAACTAATTGGGCCTCAAGGTTTGAATCCACCCAGCAGTGCCTGGGGAAAAAGGCCCAGCGATCTACTTTCAAACAAAACCAGTCGTTGGAAACCCTATGGAGCACGGAGCACGGAGCACGTATGTGGGTCGCCAGGAGTCAGCATGGACGGCACAGCAAGTGCTTGCTGGTTGTTCTGATTCCACGTGTTC